CTACTTTGTTGAAAGACTTACCATAGTCGGTGAGTATCACATCCAGAATATGCTCTCGATGGTAGTGTGGGGTTCCCAGCACTAGGAATTTCTCCTCTCTATCGCGTGTCAAAAAAATGAACGAGAATGAATGAACTATGAAACAGTTGGGTACAAGTACTAACCCTAATTGGGTTGTACCCCTTATGGGCTACCCCACTATAGCCTACACAATGTAAGCAATATAACATTCTGACACACCCCCATAGGCAAAGTGGTGGAGAACAAGCGATCACAAGACCAGTCAAGAAAAGCAAAGCAAGCTCAGGGTGGATCACAAAGTCACCACGCAGTCCGAGCACAAGCAAAGGGCCACAAGGCTAGTTCACATACAAAGTTACATAAAGAACACAAACAAAACAGTAATCATACCCTAGCAGGTGGAAGAATGCAGGTATATATATAGATCACAGTACAAGCAAAGTCACACAGTGAGGAAGTGAGACTAAGTAGGCACAAGACCTAACACAGTAGAGAAGCGCCTTGGTGAATATATCAGCAGTGTTGGCCCTAGTGGCCACGTACGCAAGACGAAGCTGGCCACGCTGCTGCAACTCTCGAGCAAGGAAGTATTGCACAGGAATGTGCTTCGTTCTGTGCTCCAGTCTGTGCTCCTGACACAAGGCAATCATGGCCTTGTTGTCTACGTGCAGAACTGGAGGCGAACGAGGCTGCTCTCCCAAGTTAGTCAGCAGGTAGGTGAGCCAGCGTAGCTCCTGTGTAGCCATGTCCCCGGCGTAGATCTCAGCCTCACAACTGGAACTGAGAACTGAAGACGAGCGGGTAGACCGCCAGGAAACAGAGCCGGAACCGAGGCTGAAGGTGTAACCCTGTGAAGACCGCTGCGTAGCTGAGTCGTCAACCCAAGAAGCATCTGCGTGACCAGTGAGAACAACTGGACCCCGTCCTCCAAGCACAAGCCCCATGCCCGACGTACTGTATAAGTAACGCAGTACCCTCTTCGCAACATCCCAGTGCACCTTTCGGTGCCTACCGGGAGCCACGTAGCGAGCCAGAAGGCTGAGAGGGTACGCGAGGTCAGATCGTGTGCCCGTCATCAGGTACATGAGGCAACCCACAAGCTCTGGGTACGGACCACTCGGCTCTACGGACTCGTCCGAAGGTGGAGCTGAGAGCGAGTGGCCGGTAGACAGAGGAGTGGGCTATGGCGAGGAGAACTGGAAGCCGAAGCGCTGAAGGACCTGGTGCACCATGTGTGACTGAGTCAGTGTGATGGTGCGCCGTGCTCTGTCCCGGGTGATCTGCAAGCCAAGATAGCTACGAAGTTCACCCAGGTCAATGCAAGTGTGTCTCTTCTTCACAAGGGTAAGTGCCTCAGTGTCAGCAGTGGCAAAGACGAGGTCGTCGACGTACACGAGGGCGTAGAACGGCGGCAGCGAGGTGTCGGTGCGTAGAAACAGCGACGGGTCAGCAGTAGAAGGAGTAATCCCCAGAGCCGCAAGTGTAGTCCTCAGTGTGTCGTGCCACTCGCGAGGCGCCTGGCGGAGACAGTAGACTGGCCGCCGGAGGCTCCACTGGGTACCTGGAGGAAACGACCCGGTGAAGCCAGGTGGGCGGCGCAGCCAGATCTCCTCGTTCAGCCTGCCCTGCAAGAAAGCTGTACTGAAGTCCAGAGAGTGTAACTCGTAGTCACGCTGAGCAGCGACGTGCAGCAACACCCGAAGAGTAGTCATCTTCGGTAGTCGACCCCCTATCGCTGACTGGAAGTGTTTTTAGCATATGATTGTGTTGGAATAGCAGTTGAAAGTTAGTAAGAAGAAAGAGGAAAGAGGGTTTTCACTAGCAGGCAGTTGAGTACATATAGCAAACCCTAAATTGGGCTGTACTCACTATTGAGTACCCCACTGCAGGCTAGACAAATATAACATTGTGACACACCCCCATAGCCAAAGTGGGGTGTAATCAGCACAACAAGCAAAGCAAAACAAACTAAGGGTGGATCACGACGTCACCACACATTTTGAGCACAAGTACAAGAAGCAGCAGTTTATAGTTCACAAATATAAGCAAAGCTAGAGGCAGTCACAGACGGTAAGTGGGGAGGAGGAGGGACTGCAGAAACAGATGAAGCTGCAGAAACACGGGCAACAGGAGCGGCGCGCACTGTGGCTACCGGAGATTGTAGCCTCCGGACTACTGGAGTAACTGGCTCCGCGGCTAACTCTGGGCGGCAGGAGCAACGGACCCACGGGCGACTGGCGCAGCAGGCTCGCTGGGCTACCGGAGATTGTAGCCTCCGGACTACTGGCGCTGCTGGCGACACAACGGTTGCCTCCGCCCAACCTCCCTCTAACTGTCTCACCCCCCTTTCACACACCCCCTGCTGCACCTCTAACACTGCTCACACACCACCCCCTTAGTACTACTTCGACAGCTCCCACACATCCACCCCCCTCAGCGGCAGCTGCAGCAGTGGGAGACGGAGGAGGAGGAGGAGCAGGGAAGGCCACACACACCAGTCACCCATACTCGCCACCCCCAAACCCCAACACAGGGCAGGGCCGCAACGGGGGCGGTAGCAGGGTAAGGCCACGACAGGGCGTCTGCAGGGCAGGGCCGCAACGAAGGACGGGAAGGGCCGACGCGCGGCCCCCCTGGTCGCCTCAACGGGCAACGGGGGGGGCGACGCGCGGCCCCCCAGGTCGCCTCGACGGGCGACGGGGGGGGGGGGGGCAACGCGCGGCCCCCCAGGGCGCCGCGACGGGCTACGGGAGAGGGCCGCGCGCAGGCCCCCGAGGGCGCCACGTCGGGCGACCGAAGGGGGGGGGCGCACGGTCCCCCGATGACGCCTCGACGGGCGATGAAAGGGCCGTGCCCGAGCCCCCGGGGCGCCGCGACGGGCGACGAAACCGCCGCACGCCCTGGGGCGCGCGACGCGCAGGGCACCGTCGCGCGCCACGGGGCGCATGACGGGCAGAAAACCGCTGCGCGCCCAGAGCGCGCGGCGAGAAGAAAAAGTGCCGCGCGGCAGGCAGGAAAACAGCGCGCGCCCGAGGCGCGCGATAGGCAGGACAACAGCAGCAACGGAATCTAACGGTGGGCCCATGCACAGGATCGACCCGTGAGGGTCGACCTGCTCTGATTCCATGTTGGAATTGCAGTTGAAAGTTAGAAAGAAGAAAGAGGAAAGAGGGTTTTCACTAGCAGGCAGTTGAGTACATATAGCAAACCCTAAATTGGGCTGTACTCACTATTGAGAACCCCACTGCAGGCTAGACAAATATAACATTCTGACAGATTGGCGAGATCATATAGTAAATTGAGCTTCATTTGCGCGGTCAAATATGGTCGCAATCCTTAATTATGGCACCTGATTGGACGCGTAATGCCAACAATTGCACCGCGCATATTATTGACGGATCATGCGCGGTCGTTAGGGCTGTTGCGGTTTGATGCTGGTCAATTGAGGTTTATGATCGCGGATTTATATGCTCGAGCGCTTATTGGTTACAAATTTGTTTGACCGCGCGCTCATTGGTCGCGCATTGGGCCGAAAATGAACGCGCATCTATTGTTGGTCGTGCATTTTTGTTGGTTTTATGTACAGTGTGTGGTCCACATTCGCGCCCACCACCCACCCGAAATTTTCGGGTGGGGAATAGTACGAATCACTACCGCGGGATGAGACTCGTGCGAACGAGGAATTTCGGGGATACAAACCCTTGTAGGGTAATGTGCCGGGAAAAAAAACACCTCGAAAATGCCCTGGCGTGGCCACTCGAGCAATTATCACTGAATTGGATGGCCACGCGAGCAATTAGGGAGGATATACCTCAGCCGACGAAAACTGCCGCCCGATTTCGCGGTTGCGATAGGACAACGGCCCTCCTCGGGATTGACGAACTCCCGACGACTCCGAGTGGCAAACTGGGGCGAAATGGCAGACCTGACGCCTCGGGACTGTCGACGATCTGACGACCTCGGGTTTCGCTGAGATAAACCCGAGAAGGACATCTCAGTGGACAAAAACTCACAGCACGACACGTCGAGCCGCGATTTCAGCGCGGGAACTCCACTGCGCGCCCAAATTTGTCGGTGGCCGATCCACGCGGCGAAGATCTGTCCGTCAAAAAATGTTACAGTTGTCTGGCATCGCGAGCTGCTCGCCATGTCGGTGTCGACTAAGGATCCAACGGGATTGTCCGGACCACGAAAGTCGGCGTCGACCACGAGGGCTCACGGTGGGCTTGCCACGCGGCTCTTCAATAACTCCGTGCCCTTAGGCAATGGAAGTCGGCATGTCGGCGTTTCTGCGTAGAGGCACCAATGATGGGCCCACGCCACGTAACGCACGCACATACCACCGTGGACGTGCCCAGGCTTACGCCCCGTGAGTGCAGCGCGGCGACCCATTAGCCATGCATGGCTCGTGGCACGTCGGACACTGCGCCGCCGCACGAGAACACATGTATAGCGGCACAAGCATAGGGGGTTGCGTGAAGCGCGGCAAAATCGGGAGTCGCTCACGACCATACCCCTCCGTGACCTTGCGCTGGTGCTCATTCCATTGTGCGTTCCTGCGTTCCTTCCTGCTCTCTCTTGCACTTTGAATTTTCCTCTCCCTAGCTATCTTCGCGAGTGTGGGTTACTCGTGCACCGACCAATCGATCACGTCGGCACCGGTAGCGTGTTTAGGTAACCGAACGGTCAGAACGCCTCCAAAGAAACTAACTAGGTCGGCGACGCATGGCCAGAGCACGGCCTAGAGCCCAACAGCCGCAACCCATCCCACCCCCTGCCGACTCTGTAGACGCCGACATCAAAGCACAGCTGGAACGCCTCGAGCTCGCCGCTGAGTTCGAAGCACTTGAGAGAGAATCCGACGAAGACGCCTGAGCAACTCATCGGGTGTACACCGCACCAGCGACTCAGTACCGTCTCTGGTGGTCCATCCCTTACCTCGAACACGGTCGACGGTATAGCAAACTACGAGCGGCCTCATGGCAGACGTCGACATGCCCGACGTTGGTCCCCCAACCGACCACATTGAGACCTCTACCCCCGAAGAGACGCTCAAGTTACTCTACGATCTTGATGCACTGACACAGATTCCAGAAGGGGAGTTCACCAAGGACATTCCCCCACCGCCGATAGGAGAGTTTACCAAGCCAGCTAGTAAGTCCACACCGACGCAAGATGGGCAGCCTGGACCTTCGTCGGTACCGGGCGGCTCAGGAAACCAGGTTGATGAGGAGGAGGAGGAGGAGGAGGAGGAGGAGGAGGAGGAGGAGGAGGAGGAGGAGGAGGAGGAGGAGGAGGAGGAGGAGGAGGAGGAGGAGGAGGAGGAGGAGGAGGAGGAGAGCGACGACGAATACGACGAGCGTCCTCCGCGCAGCACGAATCCGCGCACCTTGGAAGAACGCCTCCAGCGGGAACTTGAATACATAGATGACATGCTAGAACAGGACGAGAACGAGGACGAGCAGAACATGGCGGTGCCACGCGAACAGTGGAGAGCAGCAGACTTCGTCGAGGACGACATGGTTTACGCAAGCATCGACGTGCTGGTCATAGACGCCCTACGCCACCTGCAAACCTTGGAGAAGAATAGCACGCTGAGGCTGTACACCTCGTTCATCTACCACTACAAGAGGTGGGCGGCGAAAATGCTGACGCAAATACGCGACAAGCTTCCCCAGGAGCACAGGCTTAGGCACGTCGACGAGATCGGCCACTACATCCGGGACAACAAGAAGAAGAATTGGGACAAAGTGGCCGAGGTCCCCCGAGAGTACATCTGGCTGCACGGTCCTAGGGTAACCGAAACCCGGCTGCGCGCCTATGTGAAGTTCATGATACGCGAGTGTCAGCTCGATGCCGAGTCGATCGAGGAGGGGAACAATGCCCCGCGAACCCATCCGGTGCAAGGTACAACGGTGCACACGCTCCTCGGGCGCATAAAGGCATGCCAGATGGCGGCGAGAGTGGAGGCGACGCTCCACCGGGAGAAGGAGCTGAGCATCATGCGGGAGATATCGGTGGTCAGATCGGAGGTGCGGTTCATGGTCCGCACCAAGAACGAGAGGGACGTCAAGTAAGTTTGTCGACACCGCCAACCTCTGTCCACGTCACTATGAAGTCGACGCCGTCAAACTCAAAATACTCGGTGGCTTTGTGGGCAGGAATTGTGCCGACCGGCGTCGCGGCACCATCGGCGATACCTACACCGCCGAACAGTTCCGCCAAATCATGATGAAGGTGCTGCCGACATGGGCGGCGTCGGCGTGGAACCCGCGGGCAACCGCTCCTTCGCAGACGCTGTGGCGATTTCTGCTCACCAAGGCGCTCACGCTACTCTCCCACCACACTCTCCTGCGAGGCGCCAGCATCCGCGAGATCACGCTCCCCGACATCTTCTTGTACCGACTGGCTAGCACCTCGTCGGTGAACCCTGAGAACCAGCCGGTCGTCATGGTGATCGCCGCGCGGAACTCGAAGACTTCCAAGGATGCCCGTCTTCAGCAGAGCTACGCGGCGCGACACCTGGAAGCGGAGTTGTGCGCCGTCGGCGAGACCGGCCTATGGTTGCACTTCATCCTCGACCAGATCGGTCAGTTCAACGGCGTCGACTTCCTTCCGCCGCTTGACACCACCGAACGCGAGCGCTGGTACAAGAAGCACCTCTTCTTCGCCCGCAACGACAAGGAGCAAAAAGAGCTCTCCGCCTCCAGCCACCAACGTTGGACGCGGCAGTTGTGGACGACCAACAAGGTGTTCTGCAAGCGGAACGTGCACGCCGCTCGCGCCAGAGGTGCGCAGGAGCTAGCCATTGAAGGGACGCCTCGCGCCGAGATCGCCGAGCTGGGTCACTGGGCACTCGACAAGATGACGCGTGCTTACATCACAGCCATTCCCGTTGGGGTGGTGATGAAGAAGGCCGGCTACTCGGGTTGCAAGCAAGACTACTTCTTGGGTCGCAGCAGGGTCGAGCCCTCCAACAAACTATTGGACATCATCGCCGAGCACATCTTCCCCGGCGTGGATGCTCTGCTGCGCGATGTATGTTAATAGACGCCGACAAAGTCCTTACGTCGCCATTGCTTCGTTGGCTGCCCATCGCCTTACTAACCCACATCACGTGCCGATGTGCAGGCGGAAACGCGAGCTGCCAAAGGGAGCGACGCCAACAAAGCCGCCGTGCACTTCTGGCGTACCCTCCAGATGATGCGCCGCATCGTCGCCGAGGACCTCGCGGTGAAGCTCGTCCGCACCCCTTGGCACCCGTACGTCCAAGGTTCGAAGCTCTGCCGGATTGCCCTCTTTCAGCACTGGGCGAAAAGGGTCGAGAAGATCGACACCGAAACGATCAAGAAACGCCGGGACCCAACCCTCATTCAGGCAGAGGTAAACCGTCGCTAAAGTCGGCGTCGCTGGGACCCTATCTGTTACGGGTGTATTCTAAACAATTTTCGCCTTTCCGCCTTGTGCTGCAGGAAATCTCCGTTCGCTTGGACACCGAATACCATAACATGTCCCTCAAGGAGATGCTGAAGTACGAGAGGGAGCGCGCCGCGGTCGAGAAGATCGACCTTCAGGATGAACTCGAGAAGCGCGACGATACCATCGCGACGCTGACCGCCGAGATAACCCGTCTCACCGAGGCACTCCGTGTGTCAGAAGCACGGAGGATGCCGGAGACGCCGCCGTCGGGGAACGAGCAGACGCCGAGCGAGAGTGGCTCCGCGGATTCGGCCAGTCCGGGGGCCAGAAACAAGAAACGGTACGAGAAACCCCCACAGACCCTCGACGAGGCTCGTTACGAGCTCAACGTGGTGCAACCTTGGCGGGAGTCAAAGACCGTGAGGGACGCTTGGCGCCTCTGGAACTCCGCCACCGCCAATGACACCCGCCGTCTTTGCGATAGGGTCGCCGAGCCGGGATTCGTCGACCGCCACACCCTCCTCAAAGGTGCGACGCAGGGTGCACACGACATGAAGGTGCGCCGCATGCTGAAGGCCATGGATGCGGTGCGCCTTCTTCGCTCGAGCGACGGCGATGCCGACACCGAAGCCGTCGTCGCTGCCCTGAACAAGATCGCGGCGCCGGGCATCGGGACCTTCTGCGATGCCCTCACGGTGCTCAAACCGGGAACCGCACCGACGAAGTCCAAGGAGCCCGGCATGGGAGTCAAGGGGCTGGGCCCCAAGTCGGTCTCGAAGCTACGTCTCGCCTGTGCGCTGGTGGCGGTCAACTTGAAGCCGACCGCTTGGGTCGCCGTCCTGTTTCCAGACACCTGGGAGGAGCAGATGCCGAAGACCGTGGCGGACATGGCCAAGCAGACCGCACCTGTGCTGCGTCCTCCGACGAAGCGCAAGAAGGCGGCATGAGTACCTTCGGAGCATATGAGTTTGATAATGCTGTAATTGTGGTCGATTGCACCAAACCATGATGCTTATTTTGTTCATGAAGTTGGTAAACGATGGTCATACAACAATGCCCATGCGAACATAGATGATCCAACAATGGTAACTGCAGTTGGTCGCCGACCAACAAACACCCCGAAAATACTTGCAGACAGCCAAACCCTCTATGTCGACAGACATCCAACGACGCCGACGTATTTTCGGACTCCGACATATACGCCGACAAAAAATCATCCCCGAGTAGCATTTGAGTGTGCAATTCAGAGGGTAGCGATCAGGTCGACATCTCCGACGAGGGTTCTACATGTCATGCACTACCAAAAAGTTACATGCGCTACCACATAAGCAAACACAAACAAAAAGTTACAAACACTAAAAAGGTTACAAACACACTAGCAATCAGACCACCTCGTGCTCCCTCCGCGCGCCGACTAGGCCGCCGTGCTGTCCTTGCCCTTCTTGCCCTTCTTCCCCTTCTTCCCCGTGCTGTCCTTGCCCTGCTTGCCTCTCTGCCCCTTCCTCCCCCTGTGTTCAATGTCGTACTCCATCTGCGTGCCACACGGCACCGCGATGCCGATCTTTTCGAGTTTCGGCCCGGCGACGGGGCACATTCCCCAGAACGCCAATGTCTCCACTGTCGCTCTAGCAATCACGTCGGCTTCGACTTCATGATCCACCCCCGGGTAGACCCGGTGCAGAGCGAGACTCTGCAGCGCCGGCGCGACGTTGTGCGCAACCTCCCCCAGGGGTTGCTCCCGGTCGATCTCGGCCTCCAGCACCGCCTGCATGACCTCCTTGAAGACACCGGCGGTCTTCTCGCTCGCACCGACCACCATCGCCGCCACCTTCCCTTCGCCCACAGCATCGACCATCTGGGCGTCGTCGTTCTCGACTAAGCACCACACGGCGCAAGCGGAGGCCGATAACGCCTGTGCCGCCATCGCCGTCTTCTCATCAGTGTCTCCCTCCTTCCTCGCCGCGCTCGCAGCGACCTTCCCATACGCAGCGCACATGGACACGCGACCTATCATGGCCGACATCATAGCATCCGACTTCTCCTGGCCTTCCTTTGTGACGGCATCGACGGGGAACCAGATCGCCGGCAAGAGCGCGTCGTGGTGCGCATCGCCTGAGCTCTTGTACGCTCGATACTGGCCGATAATGTCATCGAACCTGTCACACAATCACATGAAACCGAGCGACCATTAGTGACTCCGACATCGTCATCAACACTCGGCCGAAAGGGTATCCGACTTACCGTGTTTTTGGAAGGTACGCGCCCCGTGCCCATATCACCGTCCACATCCCTGTCGGCAAAATCTTGACCTCCTCCCACACCATCCTCCACTTCTCCAACTCGGTTTCCTCCAAGCCGGTGAGCTCGGCCATGAGGACCTTGCTGACGTAGCCGTCGTAGACGATGTACGCAATCGAGTGCAAGTACGCCAGCTCCATCTTCTCGCGCGATTTGCCGATGTATCGATTAGGGCCGAGCACCTTAATCTCGCCCACCCACCCAAGACCGTCGCCCGAGTTGTCGTGGCGGATGCCATGACCCTTCCGTCCTTTCTCCTTCTCCTTCTCCTTCTCCTCCTTCTCCTTCTCCTTCTCCTTCTTCTCCTTCTCCTTCTCCTCCTTCTTCTCCTCCTTCTCCTTCTCCTTCTCCTTCTTCTCCTTCTCCTTCTCCTTCTCCGCCGCCTTCTCCTTCTCCTTCTCCGCCGCCTTCTCCTTCTCCTTCTCCTTCTCCTTCTCCTTCTCCTTCTCCTCCTTCTCCTTCTCCTCCGCCTTCTCCTTCCCTTTCTCCACCGACTTCTCCTTCGCCTTATCCCTCCCTGTCTCGGCCGACATCGCCCGTGTTTTCCTCTGAGAGCTCGCCCTCCCTTTCACTGTGTCGGCCTTCCCCTTCCGTTTCGACTCTCCATCGCCGACAGCATCAGTGGTCGTCTTTGGCTCCGCTGAACCAGCGGGGGGATTCGCCAAGGGCTCCACATGCGCCGTGTCCGAGATGGCCAGAGCAGCGGGGTGCCCGGGGCGTTTTACCGATTCCAACAGGTTCTGGATGGCAGCGATGTCGGCGTCGTTGTGGCCTATCGACGCCTGTGCATGGTCAACGGCTCCGCCGCCGGTGGCTAGCGCTGCCCTCACGCCCTTCTTCGCCGCCTCGTTTACCGACGTCGGCGTCGCGCTTGATCCGGCTTCCGGCCGAGTCTGTGCTGGCGCTGCCGCACTACGTGCGCCTAACCGAGCGCGAAGCAATGCGGACTTTGGGTCCGCAGTAGGATGGGCGGCGACCAGAGGCGCGGTATGTGGGGCACTGGGCGTTGTGGCGGCGACCTGCGGAGTGACCGTGCGACGTGCTGCTTCGGCGGGGGCGGCATCGACCAAGGGAGGCTGCTGCACGTCCTTGCGATGGGCCTCCATGCGGTGGAGCATTTCCCTGAGCGCGTTCGCTGCTGCGGGCACCTTAGAGGCGGACGGACCGTCGCGGTTAGCCGCAGCATCCTTCGCGTCGCCCTTGGCGGCAGACGGGCCCACTGCAGCTGGAGTAGCCACAAGGGCCGGCCCATCGTTGTTGGCGGCTGACGGGCTGACCGGCGCGCTGCTAGCCGCAGGGGGTTTTCGGGGAATCGACGTGGTCCCCGCAACCCCGACAGACGGTCCCTTGACGGTTCTGGCGCCGCCATCTATCGCCGTTTGAGCGGTTGGGATCTCCTTGTCGCTCAAGCCTTTCCCGCTGTGCGGCAACCTCGTCGGCATGGCCCCCATCTGCACTCCCGATTCCATCGCCCTTGCTGTGCGACCTTATCACCTTGGCCCCGTTCTTCTTGAGCTGGTCGACCACGCTCTGACCTCGAGTCCGCGAGCCGCCTGGACCCACCGCGCCGACGCCGCGGCCTCCATCGGCTCCCTTGCTCCGTTTCACGCTCCCTGCATCATCTCCGCCGCCCGCCCTTTTCCGGCCCTGCTTGTCGGCCTCCCTTCGTTGCGCGGGATCGGCGTCATTGGCCGACGGCGACGACGCACGCCGACCAGCCGCCACATTGCCGATCACCTCGGTCATGAGCTTTAACCCGGACGCAACAAACGACTGCTGGGTGGCCTCCGTCACCGCCTTCAACACGTCCGCCTTGAACGACTTCATGAGCTCGTCCGGAAAGGCTGGCGTGGGCTGCGGCGGGGGCGGCGGCGGCACGGCGATGGTGCGAGTTACCGCGGCGGCAATGTTGGCCTGCGCGGCGGCTAGGTGCTTCGAGATGAAGTCCTCCAAACCCAGCTTCGCATCGTCCACCACCGCTTCCACGTGGTTGCCCAAGGCGGCGACCGCTTTTGCGCGTTCAACTGCCATACTTCCCTCCGGACCGTCGATTTCCGCCAACCACGTCGACGCCTTTTCGGCGAAGGACTTCATCGCCTCCCACGATTCGTCCATGTGGTTGGTGATGTTGTCCGTGATGGTTGTCGACACGGCCGACGTCGCATCTAGCAGCCGTTTCGCCGCATTATGGTCGGAGACGGCGACCTGGTCGGCCAACGACTGGAGCTTGTCGAGGAGTCCCCGCATCCCCAACACAAACCTGTCCACCCGACCCCTTTCATCTTCGAGCGCCTTCTCCATACGGGCATTTTCTGCCGTCAATCGCCTGTTCTCCTGTCGCAGCTGCTCGACGACGTCCAGCGGTGCCTGCCGACCAGATGCGGAGGAACCGGGATGACCGCGCGCCGCCTTCTTCACCCTAGACCGCTCCCCCCCGGCCTTCCCTGCGGTGGTCTCGGTAGGCGCTTCCACGCCCGTCTGCTTCGTGGCCGCGGCGTTATCCCCTTCTCCAACGACCTCGAGGTCGATAACTTCCTTCGCGTCGCCATCCACATCGCCGACCACGACCTTCTCACCCCCCCCGTGAGCCTCCTCCACGCCGACTTTCTCCTCGTCGGCATCCTCCCCTCCCTTGTTCACAACATCTGCCGACCTCCCAGCCGTTTCCGCCGCTCCCTCTACGTACTCCACCTCCATTTCCTCCAACTCCCACTCGACCTCTTCCTCCTGCTCCCCCTCTTGCTGCTTCTCCGCCTCCTCCGCCTCCTCCTCCTCCTCCTCCTCCTCCTCCTCCTCCTCCTCCTCCTCCTCCTCCTCCTCCTCGTCGTCGTCCTCCTCCTCCTCCTCCTCCTCCTCCTCCTCCTCCTCCTCCTCCTCCTCCTCACGATCCTCATGGTCCTCTTCCTGATCCTCGTTATCCTCCTGGTTCTTCTCCGCGGTCCCAGTCACCGCCCTTCCTGCCTCCTCATCTTCCTTGTCGACGCCGCCTCCGGGCTCTCCGATCGAAGTCCCACGCGCATCATCGACGGTGTAGGCGACACCTATTGCTGTGGATGCCAAAGGGGCCTCCTCGCCGTCGTGGTCACAGGCGTCGGCGGTAACTCCGACATGGCCCGACCGTTTGAGAGCGACGTGCTCCTTGACGAATGTTATCATCCCATTCCGCAGCCCCTTCAACCCCGAAACGTTGACCTTGTCCATGCCGGTCTCACTGCGACGGAGGGCGCCGGTCAGGAGATCCATCCTCCTCACCACCCAGCACAACGCGCTCATTGCTAGCAGGCCGGAGCCCGCATCCCCGTCCCGGACGGCGTCGGGCACTTTCTGCATACAACAGCTCAGAGCGCAAGGATGAGCACCGCGTTCGGCAATCGCATCGCGCAAGGGTGACATAGAACGGTGAATCGTTCGGAACTCACATCTCGAACGGGTTGATCGCAGTCGGCGAGCCTGTCCTCCACCTCTTCATCGGAAGGCTTCGCCCACTCCCACTTCCTACCATCGCACCCAAGCTCGGCCAGGACCGCCACCCGGAAAAACCTGAAGCAACATGGCACAGATTGTCGGTAAGCATGGTTTACGCTGCGCGGCGAAATTGCATGCGTCGTCGACTACACTATCGAGCTCACTTCAGCACGCGGATCGCCTCGTCGTGGTGCCACTGCTTCACGGTCTGCGGGTCAAAGTGCCGGATCGAGGTCCTGATCTTCTCCCCCCCACCCTTCAACAGGTCGCCGGGGTACAGGATGACAACGATGCTGCAATGTGCTCCTGGAAGCGGTGCGATGCTGCACAGGCAAGGCACGACGACGTCGTTCAGAACAGAGCACCGACATAGGATGCAACACACATCGTGACGACTTCTAACCAGCTCACCTCGAAGTCAAGGGGATAACCGCTACGTCGGCGTCGAAAACCGTCGCAAAGCATGTGTGGTCCGCCCGACCCATCGCCGCCCGAAGCCGGCCGAGTCCTATCGACCACAATCGCATGTTGGCCGGCGCCGCGCGAGTCCATGCGTGCCTGCACGCATGCATGGGAATAAGAAGTGAGTGAGTATGTGCACGACACGACGGTGGATACGTTGGTTTAGGAACCGCCGACCGACGGGGATGGCAATCGTACGACGGTGCACCACCCTCGCGACGTTGTAATCAATTGAGGCGACCGATGCGTGCCTAATGCCTGTGCCGACACCGACCTACTGTCGGCGTCGACGTGAACTCGTAGCGCCGCCTCCGACTTGGGACAACCCTAACACCGACGCTGCGTCGACCAGCAATGTAAGAAGATGTCGACGCCGACATCCACATACGCAGACTCACTTGATGCGAATCCCAAGCAACGGGCGTTGAACTCTAGCCTATGGTCTACGAGGACGGCGTAGTCGTGTTCCTCGAGCTTGGCAGTGAGTCCACTACCGAGGTCGAGATACAGAGGGAAGTCCTGCACGGTCGGCGCCGCTTCGCCGGCTTTCGGGTCGGCCTCCATTGCGTTGAAGGGAATTGACTGCAGGCTAAGAAGGGACGAGAATGTGGGAGTAATGGTGAAAGTGAAACGAGATGCCGAAAATGAGGAGCGATGCCTCCTTCCGCCAAGGGAAGGGAATCGGTGCCCCACAGGCCGGTTGAGGCATCGCCCAGGGTTCGTGGTGCCTGGCTCGGCAGGGTTTGGCGGGCTGCATGCACAAGCGCTCCTTCGCCGCCGAGCCAGCACGTTGACTTCGCGTCCCCCGGCTTCGCTCGGCGAGGGGACGCAATTTCGCATGCGCGCGGTGCCTCGTTTCGGCCGACACGTGTCGACTTCGCTCCGGATCGCGAAAACCCCGCGCCGCGATGCGAGCGAACCGATTTTGCCGGGCTCGAAATTTCGCATGCACCCGATGCGAACCCGCGTGCGCGCACGCGGCGTCACCGCAACGGGTCGCGAAATCGTCGAGCTTCCCGAGGGGAGCACCCGAATTTCGCATGGCCCTCGCCTGCCCGTCCGGGCAGGTCGCGAGGGTCACTAGGACGTCGCGGGCAGCGGGCACGGGAGGGCTGCCTTCGCGCGAGGGTTACTTTCCCTCGCGCGAGGGCTCGCCAGCTCGCCGCCCCCACCCGGTAACGTGGGGCGCTGTTCAATCACGCAGGGGGGTTGCGGGGCGGCGGTCGTGCGCTCGGCCCGGCCCTGGGCCAGGCTGGCGGGCCCGCACGCGCGTCAGTTGCCCGCCTCGTCGGGCCCGGCTCCGACGACCCCCTCTGATGACACTGGCAAATCGGTTCCGACGACCGATTTGCGCTGGGATGTTCGGGGACACTTGGGCAAGAGAGAATCACCAAAGAAGGCCCTGGAGCAATTCTCTCGAAATCTGGACACTGAACATTCGCCCTGACGTGGTGAAGTGGTCCCGAAAATCTGAACATCCTTGGAACATCAACAAAACCCGCGCTGAAATTTATGGATCCAGAAAGTCGACAGTTTACTTGCCTAGTTGAACCTCAGGGTGTATCTCAGCAAGGTGTTGACGCGACTGTTCATGTAACTTGGTGTCATGTGCTTGTTCCGGCCCTCTACCGTATGTTTTTTTCCTCAAGTCAACGTGAATAGTTGCATTGACACCTTGCTGAGATACGTCCTCAGGCGTTCAGCGTGCTCCTCTCCTCTCCCTCTCTTGCTCCTCCTGGCATTCTCTTGAAGCCATATCACACCACGAGCACACAGTAAAACAGCATGATGAGTTATTACGTTGGCACTGCGCACTGCTGATAAGCCAATTAGGTCGCAAAGGACAGGGTGTTCCTCCTACTGTATCTTCTCGTGCAAACGACTCATTGTTTCTAATCGAGACTAGGGTCAAGAATGCATACCCACGAAAATAATATCTCTGCGGCACCACCGGATGGCATGCGTCTTTCGTCTCGTCGACACCGCAAAGCTTCCTCTCGGGTTCTCATTCTCGCGCTAGCGTTCGTGATAGCGTCAGCGGAGCTTCTTATGGAGAGTACGGGAAGCGCCGTTGCGGCAGGCTCAGGGGCGAAAGCTGGAGAAGACAGGAAGTATGCTGACCTTGCTAACGATGTAAATAAGAATTCTAATTTGGTTGGGTACATAAGGGACATTCCGGAGCGAGTTGATGCATGTAATTACAGGGCTAACAGTTGCGACGCATGTAATTACACACACGGCTAACTCGGATATTAACGTTCACTCTGATCGTGACGCTAGCGCTAATTTCGATAAAATTGCTGAATTCTATCTGACCGTTGATAATGATGGGAACCGAGCACTACTCAGTAACGCGAACGGCAGCTCTAGCGTCGACGGTCGCGATGCGAATACGAACGCGAGACTGGCGCGGAGAAGGCTGGCGAGCGACGGCGGGACGAAGAGAGACGCGCGCACGAGAAAAGCGACGGCAGGAAAAGAATCATCTATCAAGAGCAAGAGCGGGACGGTGCTGACGGTGGGATGCTTGTTCGCCCATGACCTGCCCGGGGGAGTCGACATGCTGGCCGGTATGCTGCTCTTACTTATGAGGCGCCTCAATAATGGGTGGCGTCATATGATTGCGGGGGCGCTGCCCACTCCTCGCCCTCTCGTGCTTGGCAATGCGATTCCTTCCTCCTCCCTCCTATCTCCTCCCTCCTCCTTCCTCCCTCCTCCCTCCTCCCTCCTCCCTCCTCCCTCCTCTCCTCCCCCCTCCCTCCTCCCTCCTCCCTCCTCCCGCCTCCCGCCTTCTGTCCACCAAGTTCTCGTGCCTTGTGTGTGGCTCCAACGCTCTTGCTGCTTTATCCTCCTCTCGCTCCTTCTCTTCGTCTTTACCTCTCCTTTCACCTCCCCCTCTCCCCCTTTTCCCTCTTTGTGTCTGCCCTTTCTTGTCTTCTCTCCCCTTCTCCCCTTCCTCTTCTTGTCTCATTTTGTCTCCGCTCCTTTTTGTCTCCTCTCCCCTTCCCCCTTCCTCTCTCTCTATTCTCCCGCCTTCTCCTTCCCCTTCTTCCCCGGCCAGCCTCTGTCATGGCAGTGGAGGAAATCAACGGCGTTCCCAGTATCCTGCCAGACCACTTGCTTCATCTGACGGTGCAAAACTACTCCATAGCCTCTCTCGCGAGCCAGCTCGCAGGTATCCCCCTCTCCCTCCCGCCCACTCTCCCTCCCTTTCTCGTCCCCTCCCCCTCCACTCTCCCCCCTCCCCCCTCCCACTTTTTCTCCTTTGCTACCCACCCCCCCTTCACCCCCCTTCTTTCCTCCTTTCTCTGCTCGCTTCTCTGCCGCTCCTCTCTTCTTTGCGCCAGCCTATCCCATCCTCTCCCGTCCTCTCCCCTTCCTGATTGTTTTTCCCCTATTCATTCCCTCTACCCTCATTCCTGCCCCCCCCTCATCTCCACGTGACTTCTCCTCTTGCCTCCACGTGGCAGCATTCCGACTGCTTGAGAACCATCCGGTGGCTGTGATTGGCCCGCACACATCCGACCAGGCCGCCCGATTCAGCCCACTTGCAGCCGCAACCCAGGTGACAGATCAGAAAGAGAGACACTCACAATCGACCCGACAGTTATTGTCCTTGGGTATTGAATGTATAAAACATTACTACGTATGATTTTGTTGTTCCCTCCCCTTTATGTCCTCATTGGCAAGTGGGCTGGGCAACAGCCACTCAGCTCAACTCTGAATCGGTGCGACTTTTGAGAATTCTCAAATGTGGGCTGGGCAACAGTCGCTCAGCTCAACCCTGAATCCCAAGATTCCTTACGCTATGCTTCTCCTTGGTGCCTTCCTTCGTGTCCCATCTCCCCCCCTCCCTCTGCGCATGTTCCTCCCCGTCCCCCATTCGTCTCCTCAACCCTCCTTTGTCCGCCATCCTGTCTCCCCTTCCTGTACCCCCACCAGGTGCCGTTTATATCGCCGTCAGCAACGGACGTGCAGCTCACTCAGGGCGCCAGCCGGCCCTTCTTTGAGTTGACTAACCCCACCCTCTCCTGCCCCTCCCTGTGCCCCCTCCACCCTCCCCACCTCCCCCACCAGGTGCCGTTCATATCAGCATCGGCAACGGACGTGCAGCTCACTCAGGGAGGCCATCGCCCCTACTTCTTGCGCGCTGTGCCCAGCGATGGCGTGCAGATGGCCGCCATGGCAGGTGTGTGTGCGAGTGACACGTTCTGGTTACGGGTAGCAGCAGCAAGCAGTACGTGTGTGCCATCGCCCCTACTTCATGCGCGCCGTGCCCAGCGATGGCGTGCAGATGGCCGCCATGGCAGGTGCGTGCCTCGCTCATTCTGTGCTATGTATGGGTGCAGCACGTGCAGCAGTCAGTGGGGCCGTTGAGTCGACTATTGACTCAAGTTGAAGCAAGGCCTCCCTCTTTCTCTCCTCCACTCGCCCCTCGCCTCTCATCCACCAATCAGAGCTGATCAGGCCCTACGAGTGGCAGCAGGTGGCGCTCATCTACAGCGACGACCGATGGAATCGGATGGGCCTATTGAGTGGCCTATTGAGTGGCCTGTTCCCTATAGCCAAAGCTAAAACCCCTTTCCTCCTCCAACTACCCGACCCCCCCGCTCTCTCCTCCCTCCCCCCCCCCCCCCCCCCCCCCCCCCGCCCGCCCCCTTCATTGTCTCAACCAATCAGAGCTGATAAAGCGCTACAAGTGGCAGCAGGTGGCGCTCATCTACAGCGACGACCGCTTCGGGCGCAACGGGATGGCGGCGCTTGCCTTGCAGCTGCTCTCCATTCATGTGAGGCACACACACCGTACAGGCGGAGTCACACACACCGTACAGGCGGAGTCACACACACCGTACAGGCGGAGTCACACACAACGTACAGGCGGAGTCACACACACCGTACAGGCGGAGTCACACACAACGTACAGGCGGAGTCACACACACCGTACAGGCGGAGTCACACACACCGTACAGGCGGAGTCACACACAACGTACAGGCGGAGTCACACACACCGTACAGGCGGAGTCACACACACCGTACAGGCGGAGTCACACACAACGTACAGGCGGAGTCACACACACCGTACAGGCGGAGTCACACACACCGTACAGGCGGAGTCACACACAACGTACAGGCGGAGTCACACACACCGTACAGGCGGAGTCACACACACCGTACAGGCGGAGTCACACACAACGTACAGGCGGAGTCACACACACCGTACAGGCGGAGTCACACACACCGTACAGGCGGAGTCACACACAACGTACAGGCGGAGTCACACACAACGTACAGGCGGAGTCACACACACCGTACAGGCGGAGTCACACACACCGTACAGGCGGAGTCACACACACCGTACAGGCGGAGTCACACACACCGTACAGGCGGAGTCACACACACCGTACAGGCGGAGTCACACACACCGTACAGGCGGAGTCACACACACCGTACAGGCGGAGTCACACACACCGTACAGGCGGAGTCACACACACCGTACAGGCGGAGTCACACACACCGTACAGGCGGAGTCACACACACCGTACAGGCGGAGTCACACACACCGTACAGGCGGAGTCACACACACCGTACAGGCGGAGTCACACACACCGTACAGGCGGAGTCACACACACCGTACAGGCGGAGTCACACACACCGTACAGGCGGAGTCACACACACCGTACAGGCGGAGTCACACACACCGTACAGGCGGAGTCACACACACCGTACAGGCGGAGTCACACACACCGTACAGGCGGAGTCACACACACCGTACAGGCGGAGTCACACACACCGTACAGGCGGAGTCACACACACCGTACAGGCGGAGTCACACACACCGTACAGGCGGAGTCACACACACCGTACAGGCGGAGTCACACACACCGTACAGGCGGAGTCACACACACCGTACAGGCGGAGTCACACACACCGTACAGGCGGAGTCACACACACCGTACAGGCGGAGTCACACACACCGTACAGGCGGAGTCACACACACCGTACAGGCGGAGTCACACACACCGTACAGGCGGAGTCACATCATGCGGGCAGCCAGCTGTTGAGAAAAGGTGACTGTTGAATCAACTCAGAAGTCACCACGATAGGTTGGGCTGCAAAGGGGTGGCTGCGACAACGGTGTGATTGCACTCACCTCACAGCTTCTGCCGATGAGTGTGGGTGAGTGCCACAACAACAACACACGGGCAGCTAGTGTAAGAGATTTGTTTTTTTTGACTTTTGAGAAAACTTTTAAAGTCACCTCGACTCGACCAGTTTAGCTGCAACGGTGTGATTCTGCTCACCTCACAGCTTCTCCCCCCCATTCGTCCGTGAGTGACCGTGAGCCACAACACACACACACACACATACACACACAAACACTCATGCACACACACACACACATACACACACAAACACTCATGCACACACACACACACACATACACACACAAACACATGCACACACACACACACACACACACACACACACACACACACACACGCACACACAGAGGTTGTTGAGTTTTTTTTTTTTTTTTTTTTTTTTTTTTCTGCTCTATTTTTTGCTGTTGAGAGACGTTTTTCTCCCCTTCAAAATAATAATAATAAATAAAAAACAAAAATTCTGGCTTCATGGTTTGCCTGGCTTTGAGAAGTCTCAAAACGCCACCTACCCCCTCCCCCCTCCTATCCCCCCTCTTTTTCCTCCTTTCCCCCTTCCCCAATAGCAGGGAAAGCGAGACGAGAACGCTGACGCTCACTCACTGTGCTTTAAGACGTCTGTTGATGGCTCTCCTGCTCTTCTTGTCCCCACCACAAGGCGGATGCAGAGGTGGCAGTGCGGGTGGCCATCCCGCTGTCAGCCACAGGCGAGGCGAGGCCATTCACGACACAACCAAATGTCTGCCCTGCTGCCTCTGTTCTGTGCGGTGCTATGTGGTGCTGTGTGCAATGATCTCCTTCCCTTGCCCTTGCCCAAACAGGCGGATGCAGAGGTGGCAGTGCGGGTGGCCATTCCGACGTCAGCCACAGGCGAGGCCATTCACGACCAAATGTCCCCCCTGCTGCTGCTAGACATGGCGGTCTATGTGCTGCACGCCTCCCCGTCGGTATTCTCTGCCGTCATTGAAGCAGGTGGGTGCCGGTACCAACCCCCCGCAACCTCCCCCCCTCCCCTCCCCTCCCTCTCCCCCTTCCCGCTGTATTGTTCTTGTGGAATGGAAGCTTTTGGGTTTTGTATGCATCACCTCAATGAGAGAAACAAGTAGAGTACAATGGAGTTGGAAGCAGCTCGTGCGGTACGCATTGCCTGCGTTATTATTCGACTATTTGCGAGAAGCAGCGTGTGACCTGCGGTATGTGTTAATCCAAGGCCCGCGTGCATGGCATGGCACCGCACCGCACACATGCCACGCCAGCCCATTATTGTTCATGCACACACCTGCGCCGTGACCTTCCCACAAGGGAACCAAGCTGTGCCTGTTTGCGTCGAGCAGAGTGTGTGTGGGTTGGACACGTGCATGCCACACGAGTTCCCCACCAGCCCACTCACCCTTCCCCCCATCCTCACCCCCTCATCGGCCAACAAGTTGTGCGTGTTTACGTCGAGCAGTGTGTTGGTTGTTGTGTTGTGTGTGCCAATACACAGGACTCGTGCTTGCTGCATGAGTTCTCCACCAGCTCACTCACCCTCACCCCCACCCTCACTCACTCATCAGCCAACAAGCTTTGTTGTGTTTTTGTGTGTGGCTTTTTGTGTGTGGATTTTTGTGTGTGGCTTTTTGTGTGTGGCTTTTTGTGTGTGGATTTTTGTGTGTGGCTTTTTGTGTGTGGATTGTTGTGTGTGGATTTTTGTGTGTGGCTTTTTGTGTGTGGCTTTTTGTGTGTGGATTTTTGTGTGTGGCTTTTTGTGTGTGGATTGTTGTGTGCCCTTGCTGTTGTTTCTGTTGTTACTAACAATTTCTTACCCTCGATGCATCCGAGTACCCAGGACTCACCAAGGGGGTCTATACTGGATGTTCTTGCTCATTCTGTCTTTGAGGCCCCTCAAAAGTACCCTGGGCTAAGGAGGTATATACCCTACTACTAAGCCCTTGCTGTTTCTGTTCCTTGCTCCTTCTCGTACGCGTTGCCATCCCACCCACTCTTACCACTATCCCCTTTTTCCTTCTCCTTTCCGCGCCTCCCCTTTCCAGCACCTCCCTCCAAATGCAATCCAAACCCACTTCACCCACAGATCTTCCGCCCACTTAACCCCTCTATCTACACCTCCTTCCCGTCAAGCCAGAGGCCATTACCATATGTGCCATTGTCATTTTTTTAGACGACAAAAAAGTCCTCCCCCATCCTTCACTCCCCTCCACGCTTCCCTTCACTCCCCACACACCTACCTTTCAAACCCCACTCCCCCACACCTCCCTCCCAACCCCCACCAAACCAGGGGCCATCCCCATATGCTCTCCCTTCACACGATCCCATGACAGGTGTTTTTTATATCACCTCAAAATGCACACTCACACATCCTACAGCAATGCACACTCACACCTCTCTCTCAATCCCCTCCCCTCCACACCTCCCTCCTGACTCCCACCAAGCCAGAAGCCATCCCCATACGCGCTCCCATCACACGATGCTGTGACCCTCATTGCACGCGCGCTGCACTCTCTGCTCTACCCCTCCGCGCCTGCACCAACCAACTCGTCCTCACACGAGCCCCCGCAAACACAGCAGCAGAAAGTGGGTCAACAGCAAGAGGGGCAGAATCAAAAAGTGGGGCAGCAGAGGAGAATGCAGCAGCAAGAATGGGAGGGGCAAGGATTCCAGCAGCTGGAGCTGCCTGTGCTGCCTCTGCTTCCCAATGGCACCCAGGACGTGCTCGCCCCACCACTCACCCGCCTTCAACAAAGTGCAAGTATGCTGTGCCTTGCTTCTTGGCTCATAGTAGAAAGGCAGCAGTAGTACTAGAAGATAATGCTTAAGCAACAAGAATTAACTGTTTAAATTCGTGTGAAGAAAACTAGATCGAGAAAAAAATTTCGCCTCTAAAAGAGCCTCCTCCCATCCAGTCTCCCATGTGCTGCGGCGATAGTTGCCCCGCACTGATATTTCAGTCGACTCAAAAAGAGGCTGCTGCTGGTCGCATGCTTCCCTCGTTGCTCCGTTGCTCTAATGCTGCTGTGCTGCCGTGCTGCTTTGTTGCTGTGTTGTCGTGCCCTCCCGTTATGAATCCCTGTCATCGCCATGCCATGCTTGCCCCACACCACACTGTTCCAACCCAACCCAACCACAGTGGGACCGGCACTGCGGAAGGCTCTTCTCAAGACCAGCTTTGACGGCCTGCAGGGCAGGTGAGGCGTGTTGCTGTCCCTGCCCCCGCTCCCAAAACCCTGCACGGCCCCTGCCGTTGCCCCGGTCTCCCCTGCACGGCCCCTGCCGTTGCCCCTGTCCCTGCCCCCGCTCCCCCCCCCTGCTCCCTGTCTGCTCATGTGTGGCTGTCACCTGCAGGCCCCAACAGGATCATTTCCCAAAACCCGACTTCGAATCGCAGTGCCCAACAAACAGGTGCTTGCACAATGGTGAAAGCTAGCAAACCAAGGCAGGTTTCCTTATCAGCAGTGCACATCCATTTATCAACAGGTGCACATTCACTTATCAACAGGTGCACATTCACTTATCAACAGGTGCCCTCATTACCAGGTGCCCTCATTACCAGGTGCCCTCATTACCAGGTGCCCTCATTACCAGGTGCCCTCATTACCAGGTGCCCTCATTACCAGGTGCCCTCATTACCAGGTGCCCTCATTACCAGGTGCCCTCATTACCAGGTGCCCTCATTACCAGGTGCCCTCATTACCAGGTGCCCTCATTACCAGGTGCCCTCATTACCAGGTTCCCTCATTACCAGATGCCCCCTTATCACCAAATATAGATGATCCGCCCTCTTTCAAGTAGATTCTTGGTCAAACACTTGTGATTTGGTCTGGTCTGGTACTCTAGCCACCGGCCAGCTACGTCTCTTCTAGCCATGTCTCTTCTAGCCATGTCTCTGGAGAAGATGTCTTGATTCCAGAAGTCATATTTGTCTCTTCTAAAATCTTCTCCTCCTCCCGTTACCCCTCCCTCCCCTCTTTGCCCCCCCCTCTCCCTGCCAGCAATACAAGGAGTATGTGAATGTGTCGGATGCGTTGGGGGAGGGCAACAGCCGCTTCTCAGGCTACTGCGTGGAGGTGTTCCGACTTGCGGTTACACGGTTACCCTACGAGCTGGACTACGAGTTTGTGCTGTATGGCGACAAGGACCTCAGCTACACTCAATTGGTGCTGGCTGTTGCCAACAAGGTGTGCGCCTCTCTCTCTCTTTTCGCTCAAGAAGGAAGGTCCTCGCAAGGTACGGCTCTTGACTGTGAGTGTGCGCACCTTACGTGGCGACAAGGACCTCAGCTACACACAGATGGTGCTGGCTGTCGCCAACAAGGTGTGTGTGCGCCCCTCTCTCACTTTTCGAAATGGCAGCCTTACGAACATATCGCACGAGCTGGTCTAAACGTGTGTGCTCTCCACCCTAGCCTGTATTAGTGTGAGGGCTCAGCTACACTCTCAGATGGTGCTGGCCGTGGCCAACAGCCGCGGCCTGCGCTGCCCTGTGCTGCCCGATGTTGCCCTGCTCTGCTTCACATGTGCCTGGCAGACGTGCAATGCAGCAGTGGGGGACATCACAGTACTGAACTCGCGGAGCAAGGTCGTGGAGGTGCCTCAACTCCTTGTACCGTGCTGCCCTGTCGTGCCCTATGTGTCTCTCTGCTTCACCTGTGGCTGGCTGGCAGACGTACGATGCAGCAGTGGGGGACATCACAGTACTGGACTCGCGGAGCAAAGTCGTCTTCTTCACCTACCCCATCCAGGTCCGTAGGGGGAACATGCTAAATCGGACGTGTTAGCCCTATGTGAGGTGGGGGCATGTGAAGTGGGGGGCATGTGAGGTGAAGGCATGTGAGGTGAAGGCATGTGAGGTGAAGGCATGTGAGGTGAAGGCATGTGGGTGGATTGGGGCCATTAGAACTAGGCTATTGTGAAACTAGGCCATTCGAGATTATAAAAGAGGAGTATCCTGATCTGATGTGCCACTTGTGCTACTCGTGCTGCTGCTGCTGCTGCTGCTCTCTGCTCCTTTCCTCTCCCCTTCTCATGCCTTTCCAGCAACCCGGGCTGGGTGTGATTTGCTACTCGCCTTCCAGTCCATGCACACACCACCCCCGCTTCTTTCTCGCTTTTCCCTTCTCCCTCCTCTTCCATTCTCCTTTCTCTCTCTTAGAAATCCAGGCTGGGCGTGATGGGGTATTCGTGACCATACAGCAACCCCTGCTTCGGCTATCTAGTCCACTCATACATCACTCCCACTGCTGCTCTCCCCTCCGTTTCTCCCAGCAATCCAGGCTGGGGGTAATGGGCTACTCGCGGCCGTACAGCAACCCATGGATGGTCTTCTCCCCGTTCACGGCTTCCATGTGGGCCGTCACTGCCGCCATCTGCATCACCACGGGGCTGTTTGCCATGATGCTGGACCGGCACATGACGCCCGACTTCCAGGGCATGCTGCAGAAGCGGATCGTGACGGCCGTGTGGTGAGTGGGTGGGCTGGAACGTGGGGGCGCTTAAGGTGTGAGAGAGTGAATTGACGCTGTGTGCATCGTCACAGGGCTGCTCGCCTTGCTGCTGGACAGGCAAAGGACGCCTGACTTCGAGGGCACGCTGCAGAAGCGGATTGTGGCGGCCGTGTGGTGAGTGAGTGGGCTGGAACGTGGTGGCACCTCAGGTGGTTGTTGTGGTAGCAGCTTGATTGCTGCAGCCCCCATTGCAGCTGTCTGCTCCACAGGCCTGCTCGCTCGGCTGCTGGACCTGGAAGTCAGTCAGTCAGTCAGTCAGTCAGTCAGTCAGTCAGTCAGTCAGTCAGTCAGTCAGTCAGTCAGTCAGTCAGTCAGTCAGGCAGGCAGGCAGCGCACGCCTGACTGGCTTCGAGGGCACGCTGCAGAAGCGCAGCGCCTTGCGACGGCCGTGTCGTGGGTGGGTGGGTGGGCGGGCGGGCGGGCGGGCAGGCGGGTGGGTGGGTGGTGGGCTGGAACTTCGTGGCGCTTCAAGGTGGTGTGTTTCTAGCAAGTTGATTTGTGCAGTGCAGTTTAAGGTGTGTCACACACACACACACACACACACACACACACACACACACACACACACACACACACACACACACGCACAAAACATCACAGCACGCACACATGCACTTTCACCCACCTTGTGCTGTTGGTTGTCCCACCCACCCTTCTCCTTGCTTGCAGGTATGGCTGCCACACGGTCTACTCCATTCCTGGTGCCTCCTCTCCCCACCTCTTCCCACCACTACTCACCTCTTCCCTCTTCACTCCACCTCTCACCCTCCCTCCCCTCTTCTCTCCGCCTCCCTTGTCCTCCCTTCACTTCCCTCCCCACTTGGCATTCTCTCTCACAAGCGATTGTCGGTTCACTGGTTTCACACGGCACTCCTGAGTAGTAACTTCACTTAATGATAAAACTCCCAACTCAACAGCCACCCCTGCTCGACCTGCCTCCTCAATCGGATTTCCATCCATCAATGCAGTGCAATCGATGTTCAGCTGCATTTGGTCTGCTGTGCCTTCCTAAACTGTGGCATTCCCCCAACCCAACCATCATTCTTGTCTTCATTATAAAAAATTGTTTGATCATATGCACGCGTAACTCTACCATCTTTGTGGTTGGTTGGTTGGTTGGTTGGTTGGTTGGTTGTTTGGCTGGCTGGTGGTGTGTCTGTGTGTGAGTGTTTGTGTGTGAGTGTCTGTGTGTGGGGGTGTGTGCCAAACCTCCCTCCTGCAGTGATCCGCATCCACACGACGCTAGCAAGGGCGGTCGTGGTGACCTGGCTGCTTCTATCCTTCATAATAGTCGACACCTATGTGGCCAGTCTCACCTCCATCCTCACAATGCAGAGGCTTCTTCCACAAATCCTGGTGAGTCTCTCTACCTCATATCAATGTGACTTTTGTGTCGACTCAAAAGTCTACCACATATCATACTCACCCACTTGCATTGCAGTCAGTTTTGTTAGCTAAAAACATGAGCACCTGTTATCCATCTCATTCCCTACAAGCACATCATAAGCGAGTGTTATACTCCCCTATACCAAATATTAGCACACGTGCAATGTAAAGGACTTTCCCGTTTTCCTCCTTCCCTCCGCTTGTTATCCATCTCATTCCTTACCCCTCTCTGACTCCCTGTGACCTGCCCTTGCCTTGTGCCCTCCACTCTCCACCCCACCAGGACATCTATTCCGCCCTCACCAGCAACTCACCCATTGGGTACCAGCAGGGCTCCTTTGTGCACTCGTACCTGCTGCAGCTGGGCGTTGCTCCTGTGAGTGCCTCGTCCATGTCTTGTCTCTATGATTGTTGAAGGCAAGTCAAGAATGGGCTAGAGCGGTGGCCTCATTGGCTACCAGCAAGGCTCCTTCATGTACCTGCTCACCTGCTGCAGCTTGGCATTGCTCCTGTGAGTGCCTCGTCCATATCTCTATGACTGTTGAAGGCAAGTCCAGACTGGGCTTACAGCGGCGGCCCCATAGGTTACTAACAGGGCTCCTTCGTGCACTCGTACCTGCTGCAGCTGGGCGTTGCCCCTGTGAGTGCCTCGCTCACACATGCCCTGTTTGCCCCTCTTCCCTCCTTTTCACGCCCACAAAATGGACAAGCTGGTGTATTTGGGAGGGGCGAGGGAGTATGCATTGTTTCTATCGTCGGGGCGGGCCGCGGGTGATGGTGATAGTGGGTAGGACCCCTAGGACCCTACCTCAACCTGTTCTCTGCTTCCTTGACAGTCCTAGTCCGCAACAATTCCTGTCTCACCTCACCCTCTCCCTTATTCAACCTCTCCCGTGCCTAGACATGAGCACAAGGGCGAACACCTGTTCGGTTCGCCTCGAACACGTTCGAGGCGAACCGAACAGGTTTGTTTTTTTTGCTTAAATTGTTCGCCGAACAGTGTTCGATGTTCGCCCGAACACGTTCGTGCTCGGGCCGCTGCTGCAATTTGCCCCGCGACGAACACGAACGTGTTCGATGTTCGCCCGAACATGCCTTCACAGGCGAACGGCGAACACGTGTTTTTGCTTAAAGTGTTCGCCGAACCGAACAGTGTTCGGTTCGGCAAACGGATGTGTTCGTCTAGGGGCGAACCCGAACATGTTCGTGTTCGCCCCTTGCTCATCCCTGCTCGTGCCTCACCCTCGCTCTCCTGCCTCACCCTCGCTCTCCTGCCTCGCCCTCTCGCTCCTGCCTCACCCTCTCGCTCCTGCCTCACCCTTGCGCTCGTTGGCAGGGGAGAGCGAGCTCGCATCAACTCTGGCCTCGGGGCGAGTCACAGTGATAGTGGATGGCGACCCCGAGTGATGTGACCTCTTCTTCACTGCCCCTCTCCCTGTCCCCCTTTCTCTCCGTCTCTCCACACAACCTCCAAACCCCATCGTCAGGACAAGTTGGTGTCCCTGGCATCGTGGGGTTTGGAGGTTGAGAGGGCGAGTATGCATCGTCACTGGCATTAGGGCGGGTGACGGTGATAACGGACGAGGACCCCTACCTCGACCTCCTTCACCACTGCCTTGTGCTCCCCCTCTCCCCTGGCCAGCAGGACCACCACCCGTCTCCGTTCCCCACCTTCTCTCTGTCCCTCCTCACAACCTCCAAACCCCACCGACAGGACAAGTTGGTGCCCCTGACGGGAGAGAGCGAGTATGCATCGTCTCTCTCCTCAGGAAGGGTGGCGGTGATAGTGGATGAGGATCCCTACCTCGACCTCTTCTCCGCTTCCTTCTGTGACGGCGTGCAGGCGTCGCAGCCCTTCTCCATCCTCAACCTCGCCTTTGTGGGTGCACACTCTGGTGCACTGTGGTCGCACGTGTGCATGATGTGTGTGCATTGATAGAAATGGAGTTGAAGTAATTGATTAGTAGAGAAGGCACTAGGTTTTAAGTACAAACAAGGTTGGGTTGAGCAAAGCTAGGGGAAAGGATGGGATGGGAATCCTAGCAAATCTCCAATGGTGAGTTGGCAGATTTGCTGGATTACGAGGGAATCCCAACCAGATAGGGTTGGGATCACAATCTACACCCAACCTACAAATAACCTACAAGATATATAATATACTACACAAAGTGTTGACAGCCTATTTCTAACACACCCCCTATGCTGCAACATATCAGCCACATGGAGGCCCAACACCCATGGACGAGAGGAGGCGGTAATGGTCCTGGCGAACAAGTGATTTGGTAAACAAGTCTGCGAGGTTGCAGTCGGAGGCAATGTGTTCAGCCTTCAGCTGCTCGCGCTATACCAGCTCACGGAGAAAGTAGTGACGGACTTCAATGTGCTTGGTGCGGCCGTGGAAAACGGGGTCCTTGGTCAGATGAATGGTGCTCTCGTTGTCACACCAAAGCGTTGGGGCTGGTTGAGGATACCCCAGTTCTGTCAGCAGGAAGGAGAGCCAACGAGCCTCCTGGGCAGCCATGGTCCCGGCATACAGCTCTGCCTCACAGGTCGACAGTGGGACTGAGGACGACCAAGTGGAGCGCCAACTTACAACCCCACTGCCAAGGGTAAAGCAATACCCTTGGGAAGAGCGCCAATCACTCTGGTCATCAGCATAGGATGAGTCACTGTACCCCTCAAGGCGAACAGGGGAAGAGCCGCCAAGTGTGAGCACATAATCCTGTGTGCCTTTGAGATAGCGAAGGACCCGCTTGGCGGCAGACCAGTGGTGGCGAGTGAAGCGACCAGGTGCAACGTAGCGAGACAGTACACTGACTGGATAGGCCAAGTCTGGTCGAGTGCACATCATCGCGTACTTGAGGAATCCAACGAGCTCGGGGTAAGGCTCATCACAGGGCTCAGGTGAGGGAATAGAGGGTGCAGTGAGTTGGTGCTGTAAAGAGAGTGGGGTTGGCATTGATGCTGCTTCCTGCATCTTGAATCTCGTCAGAACATTGTTGATGTAAAACTTTTGTGAGACGGTGATGGTGCGGGCCGTGCGATCACGTGTGATTTCCATGCCCAAATAGTTCGTTAGCTTCCCAAGATCCTTCATGGCTAGCTTCTCACCAAGTGCGGTTTTGACTGCTGCCAACTCAGTCTGATCCTTGGTGACAAGGATCATGTCATCGACATAAACCAGGATGAAGAAGCGGGATGGTGTTGCTCGGATGAAGAGGCTGGGGTCAGAGGTGGATGGGTGAAAGTCGAGGGATCCTAAGGTGCTCTTGAGCTTGTTGTGCCATTCCCGGGGTGCTTACTTGAGGCCATACACTGGCCGATTCAGCTTCCATACAGTGCCTGGTGGAAAAGGAGCTGAAAATCTTTCGGGCCGCTCCATATAGAATTCCTCTCGAATGATTCCTTGCAGAAACGCAGAAAACACATCCATGCAGTCAACCTCCATGTCATATTGAGCAGCAATGTCGAAAAAGGTGCGTAGTGTGGGAGGTTTGGCGGTGGAAGAGAATGTCTCAAAGAAGTCCAGTCCATGCTTTTGGGTATATCCCTTAGCACAGTACTGGGCTTTGAAGACAGAAAAATCGCATGGAAGTTGTTTCACCCTAAAAACCCATTTTCCCTTCACAATGTTGACGCCGGAGGGAGGAGAGACATCTGCGAAAGTTCCTGTTTGAATGAAGGCCTCACATTCTGCGACAATGGCCCCTAACCACTGGGCGGCGTGAGGACCAGAGACTGCTTCAGCATAGGTGAGAGGTGTGGGGATGGAGGGGTTGTCGGAGAAATTGAGGGTGGGAGAGTCTGCGATATCTGGAAAGAGGCAGCAGAGCGCGTGGATGGCTGAGTCGATATCAATCAACTCCTCATGCATGTCTTCAAGGAGGGAGGGCATGAGAGAATAATCACCCCCGACAGGAGGAGGATTGAGGGAGATGCGAACGGAAAGGGAGAGCGGCTTTGGGGCTTTATGAGAGCGTGTGCGAGAAGCGATGGGGGAGGGAGGCGGAGCTGGAGGAGTAGTATCGGTATCTAAGGTGGTAGTGGGAGCAAGAGCAGGATCAAGAGCTGGAGCAAGAACAGGAGGAGCAGGAGCCGGAGGACGGCGGTGGTAGGTTTTGAGAGACGGAGGCTCGGAAGGAGGAGCGAGAGCAGGAGCAGGAGCAGGAGCAGGAGGAGAGGAAAGAGGGGGAGCTGGTGGGGGAGGGGAGGGGGAGGGAAGGAGCGGAGGAGACTGCGTGGTGCTGGAGGGGGAAGTGGGTGGTGGCGGGTAAGAGACGGTGGAGGGAGCAGGAAAAAGAGGAGATGGAGTGGCGGGAGGAGGAAGACTGTCAAAGTCAGCCCAAGTAAGAGAAGGAGGTGGAGGAGAGGGGGAAGCCTTGGAGGAAGGATAGAATGGGTGAGTCTCATCAAAGAACACGTCCCGGCTGCGGTAAAGTTTGTTGGTGGAAGGATGGAGGAAGAGATAGTCAGGCGAATCTAAGTTGTGCCCGAGGTATACGCACGTGATTGTTTTGGGAGCAAGTTTGCCTCCAGCTGCACGACAGGCTTGGGAGTTGAGGAGGACATGGGAAGTGCACCCCCATACACGCAGAGGGCGGACGGACGGCTTTTGACTCGTCCACAGCTCAGCGGGGGTGGTGTGGGTGTGATGAGGATGAGGATGGAGATTGTGGAGGGCGGCAGCGTCGAGCATGGCGTACCCCCAAAGAGAGGGAGGGGCGGAGGCATGAGTGAGGAGGCAGCGAGCAATCTGCACTAAGATGCGGTTCCGACTCTCAGCAACACCGTTCTGTTGGGGACTGTCTGGGAGAGTGAAGGTTTGACGGATACCTTCAGCGGAACAGAAAGCTTTGAGAGTGTTGTTGCGGGATTCACCGCCACCATCAGAGTGTAGAACCTTGATGGTGGTTTTGAAGTGTTTATCAGCCTGCTTGGCCCATTCAATGATGACGGCTGGGGCTTCAGACTTGGAGGAGAGGAGGTGGACAGACACATAGCGGGAATAGTCATCAATGATGAGAAGAAAGTAGAAGTGTCCGCCACGAGAACGAACAGGAGCTGGACCCCAAAGGTCCATGTGCACGCGATCGAGAGGTGCAGTTGAGATGGACTCAGTGGGGGGATGGGGTTGTTCACGAAGCTTGCTCTGTGCACAGTCAAGGCAAGGCGGCCCTAGGTTGGAGGTAGGAGAGGGAAGTGAGGCTAGAAGTCCGTGGAGGAGCTGTTTTGTGGCAAGGTCCGAAAGCGCGCGGAAGTTGATGTGGCCGAGGCGGTGATGAAAGAGCATGGTTTTGTCGGAAAGGAGACGACAGTGACAGGTGGAGGAGTCTGAGGAAGGGAGCGGAAGGTGGGTGAGTGAGCACGTTTGAATGGGAGGTACAACGAGCGTGTAGAGATTGTTGGAGTTGAGGGTGAAGCGGGCTAGATGAATGTCGGTTTTGGCGTCAAAGAGGTCACAGAAGTCGACATCATTGGGAAAGATGGTGATCACTCCTGCATATTGGATTTCACGCTGTGCAAGGAGGTTGTAGCGGAGGGTTGGGGCACAGATGCCAGTGACTGTGTCGGATGGGAATGCTGGACAAGGAACTGTGGAGGACCCATGGCATTGGATGGAGAAGCTAGAATCTGCTCCAAGGAGTGGGGTTGGAACCTGGTAGGGAACGAATGCGGTTTGGTCTTTGAGCACTGTGTGGGTGGCACCACTGTCTAGTATGAACTCGATTCCCTCTGTGTTTGAAACACCGATGTACTGCGACCCCTTCTTATTCATAATACCAGCACCAAAGAACAACAGATTGAGGCGAACATGAGATGGGCCGCTAGCAAGTGCCTGAGTAGGTTCCTCCACTGCCTCGACCTGGTTCACGCGACGAGGTGGGGCCCAGTTGGGAGGACGCTTGTTGGTGGAGACACCGTGGACGTCATACCACTCGTCATCTCGCTTCTTGAAGCAAGTTGCCTCAGGGTGGTTGGTGCCTCACACATTTTTGTCCTGCACGTGGACCCTTCCTAATGATGTAGGGGCATGGGAGAAACGAGTTGCGCCTCGGTCCCTGCTGGGAGCGGAATGGGATACCAGGGGTGTAGCGCACCGCATTAACGGATGCTTGTGCCGCAAGGTCTTTTTCAGCAGAGAGAAGGGCCGATGCAACTTTCTCGAAAGTTAGTTCCTTGGTGGGGAGCTGCTTGAGCATAGAACTGGTAACATTGTAGGCCGGGGTGAGTCCTACAAGTAGCCCAGCTGCAGGTGACTGTTCGGGGAAGGTGATCCCAATATCCTTGAGTTCCTCGTGGATGTTGCGGATTTCAGAAATGTAGTCCGCCATGCCCGGGCATTCCTCGAATGCGGTGTTGTCTACGGCAGTCGCTCCTTCGCCAAGAGGACCACGAGGGAGAGGCATCTTCCCCTTGCCGCGGTTGAGGAGGATGTCCTTGAGGCAAATCCCCTTTAACTCCGTGCTAAGGAGGTGCTTCTCCACTCCATAGCACCATTCCCCAAAGTTGGTTCTCGTGCCGTTAGGAGCAAGATTGAGAACGATGAGGTTTCCGATGAGGGTGGAAGTTGAAGTCGTCATTTCGCGCGGAGCGCAGCGCTAAAGTCTCCGATACGTAGCAGAGCGAAGCGCAATTTCGGTAATACAAAGCCCGGATTCTGCTCTGTTGCTCTGCTTTGCCGATCCCCCCTGTTCTGCTTCGCCGCTGTCCCAAAGCCGCTTCTCTGCTGCGCCGCTGAACCTGTTCCACTGCGCCGCTGAAACCTGTTCTGCTGCGCCGTTGACCTATTCTGCTGCGCCGCTGACCTGTTCTGCTGCGCCGCTGACCTGTTCTGCTGCGCCGCTGACCTGTTCTGCTGCGCCGCTGAACCTGTACTGCTGCGCCGCTGAAACCTGTTCTGCTGCGCCGCTGAAACCTGTTCTGCTGCGCCGCTGA